CCTTGGAGGGGGTGTTTGACAAGCTGAGTCTGGTGACAAAATGGCCGCATGTTGCCAAGGCCTTGCGCGCATCAGGACAAATGCGAGAATTCCAGGGTTCAAACAAGAGAAAGGGTTGGCAAAGAGATGGTCGCACACTTCCTGACGAACCCCGAGTGCGCCAACAGTGAACAAGTCTTTAGGACTTGTGCTTTTTCTGAATCACCCAGGAGCTTGGCGGAGCTTCTCCTTGGCCATTGGCTTGCCAACCGATTGGCACCCTTTCTGTCCTACAGCGCAAATGGTTTCGCTCCCTCGCGATTAGCGCGTGTAATGATGAGCGCGAGTCTAAGAAGCTACGGCAGCTGATGAGAGAAGCCAGCTTCTTCGCGGGAATTTGAAGCGGGGCTGAATTCTCAAATCACGGCTCGTTCTTTTTTTTTTAAAAGGGGCGTTTACCGACCAGGTTACGGCTTGAAGGTAAACTTTTCCATTGAGGCCTTCAGGAGGGCTTTGGAGGATTACCCATTGGGAAATAAAGTGCTAAGGGACGTTTGGGAAAAAAAACTGAAGAAACGGCGCCAGCCAGCGATGCTCGTTTGAAGGGGTAGCACGAGAACGACGGGCCGAATTCCTCCATCCGCGCTGTAAAACGTATGCGACAGAGTCCGTTTTGGTTTTGGCTCCTTTTTCTGCGGGCACAGGAGGTCAACATAGATTAGGTTACGTGCTAAGTATGTACTCAACCGGGGATCATTCGTCGCCAAGTGTCTGGCTTTGCCAAAAGATTGAACCTGCACATCCCAGTGAGATTTTGTTTCAGGCAAATACTTTTTGTTTGTTTGTTTCTCTTGACAACGAAGGGGTTTGCTGGAATTCTTGGTGGAATCCAACCTCGCGACACGGTGGGACACTCAAGGAAATGGCAGCACTTTGCTCTGACTGAAGCCAACTGATCGATCGTCTTCTGCAGAGACCCTTGGGTCTCCATTCGTGATCCGGTGGGAGCCGCGTTGTGTATCCAAGCGATCCTCTTGGCAACAGGGGTGGGACACAACGGCGTTGCCCGTTTCACCCGAGGCTGCTGGGTCGATATTTTTAATGCCCTGTTCCCTAATTGTCCTCCTGGAAAGGAGAGAGGGAGGTAGCGTACGCCAATAAACTCCTTTAAACTTAGGCCATAGCCTAATCGTTAAAAGTGACCACTGTTTTTTTTTCTTACACGTTTCGAACCTTAAATTAACAAGCCAGTTTCTCTTTTGCTTCTGCGCTTGACAGACAGTAAACAGATGTTCTTGCTAATATTTTGACTCAAAGAGCTGTTGGGATTTGGAACGCGCTGCCTGGGAAAGTGGTGGCGCTGGATACATATTTGAAAGGGATGGGTTTAGAAGGCTATGGAGATAGGGCCGGAGAGTGGGACTAGCCAGGGAGCTCTGTCGGGAGCCGGAACAGACATGATGAATTGAATGGCCTCCTCTGTACTGTCACACATTCCATGATTCCATTTGTGAGTTATTCCAGAGGGGCCACCGAGCAATGTGTTGATGAAGTGGAGGCTGGTCGCTGGGATGATCTCTTCCTTCTGTCTGTTCCCCACCTTCCGTATCCTGTTTCCACACTCTCCAGGGCTAACTGCTGGACCAAACTCACACTCACACTCACACACA